AAAAACAAAAAACAAATGTAATTTAAAAATCAAATTTTTTACATATAAGAACTCATAAATAAAGCAAATTAAAAAAATTTAAGGCCTGTCAACTCAGCAAGTACTGCTAGCATGGAAGGATAAAATGTAATCATCCATCAACAAAACCCTTTCATTACTTTGAAAGGCATTTAACGCAAGATTTGCAATAAATAAATACAAAACTACTAAAAGAACTTCTATAAACAATCATATATTTGCTTCAAGTGAAGAAACTTGGAAATATTGAAACTTCTTTTACTATTTTAATTTTTTTTTTTTTGGTATTTTAAAATTTTTAGATATTTTAAAATTTTTTTAGATATTCTTAAGAAAAAGGGACAATAATTTAAGGCAAAAAAATTAAAATGTCTATACATATAATATATGTATAGAAATTTTAATTCTATATATTTTATTGTGTGTGTGTGTCTATATATATATATATATATATATATATATATATATATATATATATATATATATATATATATATATATATATATATATATATATATATATATATTGATGTACATACAAAACATTAAAATAATAATATAAAGAAAACATTCTCTATACAAAAAATCCTAAAAATTTAACAAAAGTTATTAAAACTTATGCTTCAACACGCTTTATACTTACTTTTATATATATAAAAAAAATTTGAGTTAAACATATTTAATGAAGAAAATCGAAACTCTTAAAAATTTTAATGAGGAGGAGCTGTTAGTAAAGCCTGCTTTTTAACAAAATTTATTTATTGTCAAAAGCATACATTGTTAAGAACAGAGGATAACAACATTAAAACACATTTTTTCAACAATATTTTTTCAACACATTTTAGAAATACACTAATTACAAACAGAATTAATTTATGTGTTTTATTATGACAATACACCACTCTGCTGGCGAGGACAATATTTTTGCTCTCAACAAAGCCAGGTCACACTATAGCAAAGTACACCACTTGGCTAGCAAGGTCAGCAATCTTGCTGTAAACTAAGCCCAGTCACAACAATTTGAAACCATGCAAACAACATAATTATCACTTACAAACTATAAACATATTACATATAACACACCACAAACATTGAAACATTTCATATATTTACACACTTACAAAATATAAACCCATATAACCTTAACACATATATACACAATAAAACACAATATAAATAACACACATATATAGATAAATATATAAATTAAGAAAAATATATAAATTTGAAACTTTACAAATACAACCTTATTTTTGTTTTTTGAAATACCTCGTAATAAATGTTTAACAACTTTCAAAAACAAACTATCAAACAATCTGGTTTTTTATACGGATTTTTATAACTTCTTTTAAATAAAGTATTAAACGATCTTGTTCTTTAACATGTAACATTGAGTTTACCGTGTGAGATGCAAGTGTTTTAAACACTAACTTTATCAAGAGTTTGACCTCTTGACCTTTGAAATGAGCAACGTCTTCTTGAGTCGTCTTTTAATTTAAAAATTACAGATTAATTTTATAAATTAATAAATTTAAATACAATTGACAAAAGACTAAAATGCATGATTTAAATAAATCACCTGACTTTAAAAGTTACTTTACTAATTCAATAATAATATAATGTTCATCCTTTACTACAGAAGTTATCAAATAAAAATTGTTGATCTTATCACTAATCAAGCTGATGAAACAAAGTTTTTGATCTCATTACTGATTAAGCAGATACTGACAGATTATTAAGATTTGAAAGAGCCTCATAACGCGTGTACAGAAGTAAAGCAATTTATAATAAAACTCAAAGGCCGAGTATGGTAAAAAAGTCCGTGTAAAGGTGCACGAATGGTGAGCAGCAGCGTTAAGTTAAGTATTAATTATAAGCGATTAGATTTTAAAATCTGTTTTTTTACATTTTTTACTTCACTTTTATTTTACTTTAGATAATAAAGTTACAAATTATATTTACATAATAAAGTTATGTTTATGAAAAAACAATAATGACAATAAATTTATCTTAGTATTGATCAGTTATGTTATCTAGTTGCTTCTTTTTTAATGGCACCCTCATTTTTGTTAGACATCTGTGTCTCAAAACAGATTAATATGAAAGAAGACAAAATGTTTAAAAAAAATCTCTTTCTAAACTAATACAAAACAAACTTTTTGTTTGTCTGTAAAAATGGTAGTTAATACAATGCCAAACCAAACTTCTGAGAGGCTACAAGAAGATACAGTTGTTTATATGTAAATAAGGATTAAAAAAAAAATTAAAAAAAAGTGTTAGTGGTTAAACTTAAACAAATAGTTGCAATTATTTTGTAAAAGTGTTCATAAAAGAATTGCACACAATAAATTCTTTGTCTTGACAATTTTAGAAGACCACTAGTATTGAAAAATAATTTATAAGATCATTCCAAGTGCTTGCTGTAAAAATTAAAAAAACGGATTTAATTAAATGTTTTGAGCTTTTCTTAACTTAAATATTTCTGCTGCATCTAAATGAAAACTTATTCTTTTAACAATTCTAATCGCTGTTGTTTTTCATATTTTAAAAAACATCTATTATCTTTTTTAAAAAAAACTGGTAGCTTTGTATTAGATATGGGTGGTAACTGATCAACTAGTAGTATATTAACAAACTTTTCTTGATCACTGTTCCAAATATTAGGAAATTTTATAAACAATATACATTGATGTATTTTTAAAACATTGATAATTTGGGTACTAATTGTAGGTTTTTTTTGGACTAACAGCTATTTTAGAATTATTGATTTTTGAATATACCAACTTTATCTTATTTAAAATATCTTATTTTAAATATATCAACTTTGAAAGCAACAACCTTTATTGCCTTTTTAGAAAAGGTAAACAAACTTAAACTAATCATTTCTAATAAAAAAATAACTAATTGAATTCTTTAACTACTGCAACTTCAGAAGTTTAAAGAACAAAACAGTTCTCTCAACTCGCTCAAATTGGAATCTAAAAAATGTTGTTCTTATCAATACTTTTAATTTTAGCCAATGCTAAAATAATAATTATAATTTGAACTAAAAGGTTTTTTCCAGTTAAAATGAAATGAAACTTGCTTTTTTAATGTTCAAAACAATAATCTATTAAAGTGTTCTAAAAAAGATTAACAGCAAACTGAACCAAAAAAATTAGGAGAAAATATATGTAGGTGTTGCACCAAAGAAAGAAATTAAAATCATTATTTGACCAGTTTTTATTATTCTTTTAATTCACAAGAGTACAAATCTAAAAATTTCAATTAGTTCAGTAAATTGTAAATCATATAATGAAATACAAAGTAAACATCTAAATACTGAATTGTAAAATTAAGCTTTACAAATAACAACTCATTTTGTGCTCAAAATGTTTTTTTGTGCTAAGCTTGCTAAAAAAAGGTTGATTTTCACTTTTAAAACTCGACTGTATGCACCTGAAATAACAAGGTAACCACATTCAGTTTTTTAATGTAAGCTTTAATGAAAGGTTTTAATAGAAGATTTGTGTCACAGGAATAATTAATATAGTTTCTGATATTAGCAAGGTCTTTGAGTCTTTGATCAACAAATTCCTCACATCTCATCTTGAGTCAAATAAACTGCTGTCAGACAATCAATACGGTTTTCGATCCTCTTGCTCTACGGCCGACTTGCTAACAGCTGTAACTGAAAGATTTTATCGTGCATTAGATGGAGGCGGTGAGGCTAGGGCTATTGCTCTCGACATATCTAAAGCTTTCGACAAAGTTTGGCATGCTGGTCTTCTCCATAAGCTTGCTTCATATGGTGTTTCTGGGAAAGTTTTTGCGATTATCAAATCATTTCTTTCTAACCGGTTTATTAAAGTCATCCTTGAAGGCCAACATTCTTCTTTATTTCCAGTAACTTCTGGGGTTCCCCAAGGTTCCATCCTGGGCCCTGTTTTGTTTCTTATCTACATCAACGATCTTCCTGACAACCTTTCATCTAAAGTAGCTCTTTTTGCTGATGACTCAACTTTATACTCCTGTCTTGACAAAAAGTCTTCTCTTTTCGATCGCCTAGAACAAGCAGCTGATCTTGAATCTGATCTCACTTCAGTAATAGATTGGGGTTCACAGTGGCTTGTGAATTTCAACTTTAAAAAAACCCAATTGCTTACTGCAACAAACTACCGTAATATGGTCAACATTCCTATATTAATGAATGGCAATCCTCTTACTGAGTCATCCTCTTTACGTCTTCTTGGATTATCGCTTACTACTGACCTTTCATGGAAACCATATATACAATCGATTGCTAAATTAGCTTCTGCTAAGGTTGCTTCTCTTTATCGTGCTCGCCATTTCCTTACTTCTGATTCCATTCTCTACCTCTACAAATCTCTTATTCGTCTTATTGTATGGAATACTGTTGTCATATTTGGGCTGGTTCTTCTAACGATTCACTTTCTCTTCTTGACAAGGTCCAAAAACGCATTGTAAATGTTGTTGGACCTGGACTATCTGCTAAGCTTGAACCTCTTTCCCATCGTCGTAAAGTTGCATCTCTTTCTCTTTTCTACAGATACTATCATGGTCACTGCTCAAAGGAGTTATCATCTCTAGTTCCATCAACTAAAATTCATTCTCGTTTTACCCGTCATTCAGCTAAGTCTCACTCGTTTACTGTATCTGTCCCTGCATGCTCTAAAAACTTTTATTCATCTAGTTTTTTTCCCCGCACTTCAATCCTTTGGAACTCTCTCCCATCTTCATGTTTTCCTGACTCATACAACCTTCAACTTTTCAAGTCTTCTGTCAACCGTTTCCTTGCTCTATAACTCTGTTCTTTTTTTTTCCTAGTAACTCCCAACTTAATAGTGGTTGCTTGCAGCCTTGTTGGGAGTGAATGCAAATTAAAAAAAAAAAAAAAAAAGTTAGAATTACTACCTAGTAATTATGAATTTATATTCTAAGTATAAAATTATAATTATATATAATACTTATTTTATTTTCTAGGCTCACCTCAGTGGGATATCTTTATAAAGGTAACTTGTTTTGTTCAAAAGAAATATTCAAAAAGAATCAGGTTGAATATAAATATACAATAATTAGTAAAAAAAAACCTATTTGGGAATATCTTGAATTTGCTCCAAACTCAACTGCAGCTACTAATCGTGTATTGGTTATTAGTAAAGATTTCTTAGAAGTTCTTAATAAAGGTTAATTACCTTTTTAATATTTAATATCATAGTTTCTATTTAAGTTTAACTATATTAATATGTATTTTTTATCTAAATTTGTTTAACTTATTATACTTATATATTATTAATATTACTCTAAAAGTGTTTTATCGTAATTTTCAATTCTGCATTTACATAAAATCATTTTAAATTTTGACTTTTAAAAGTTTTAAAATATTTTTAAATGTTATAAACTAAAATTTAGTTAAAAGAACTGATGTAGCTCAGAAAGATACAAATTAAAGTAAAGTAACTATAAATATCATAAAAATAAATTAGGGTTTTATCTTAATCCCTCCAATTGTATCTGATAAAAAATGCATGTTTGTCTGAATAACATACACATCTCTAGAGGAACTGGTTAGACAGACACAGGTTCATTTTACAATTAAAAGTTTTATTATAATTTTTGATTTAATTTTAATTTTATATTTCAGTATTTTATTTTTATTTTATGTTTCAAGTATATAGTAATAAATAATACCATCTCATGTTGCTTGCAAGTTTAATTTCAAGTATTTATTATTTTTTATTTTTAGATGTCACATTTTTTCAAGTAGATGACCTGTATTTTCCACAAAATCCATCTGATAAAGAAAATACTTCAACTGTTGTTATGAAATTTTTAAAAAGTTATTTTTCTAAAAAAATTCATCCAAAAAATGAAATATATATCAGTGCTTTTAACATGTATGTTAGTATACTTGAGTTTAATACACATAATATAATCGAAAGTTCGATGTTTATAAGAAGTTTGCTATCAGGATTTTATCACGCCTATGCTATGACTGAAAAAAATCTAGCACCTTGGATAAAAGTTGACAATCATCAACCAATAACAGTATGTTTTTTAAAATTTTAGTTAACAACATTTTGAAGAACAAAACAATGAAAATTTAAACTTTAATTTAAATCATTATCATCATCTTCAATAATCATATTAATGATAATGCTAGTAAAAATAATAATGATAATCATTATTGATAAATATTTACAAATAATGAATTTTATTTGTAAATATTTATCAATAATAATTATCATTATTATTGCAATTTTATCTATTGTTAAATGATGAGTGAAAGTTAGGATTAAGATTGCAGGAAAAAGAACTGATCATTCATGTGTTAAAAAAGCAGCGGAGCTGCCTATGTTTTGTGGGATGTAGAGGTCACTGACCCATCATGAAGAATATGTAGGTATTTTTGAATAAAGGATTGCTGATAGCTAGTAGTGATTGCAGTATTTAGAGCGAATGAGAATCTGTTTGGGTTTCTGTTATTGATGCGAGGTAGTTTAGTGGTTATCGGATGGTTTGTGTATGCAAGGATCTTTTTAAGAATATTAATACAGGTCTTGTCAAGTAATTCTTCAATGTCAAAACAAATATTTAGACGGCTCGAGTTGGTTGCATCAACTCCGATGATGTGAAAGGCATTTTTGTGGAAATGTTGAATCTCTTTTTTGCTGCAAGACTGCAAGAGGTAAGAACTGAGAAACTATATATCATGTGGCTAATAGCGTGAGAAACTATATATCATGTGGCTAATAGCGTAAGATCTGTTGACTTGTAGTAGGTTGGGCTGAGTGTGTCTGATTTGCTTAAGGCGCTTGAGTAGAAATGGCACTGATTTTATAGTGTTGTGCACCTTTATCCATTGTTCATCCGAGTTCAGTTTTATTGAGTATGGGAGATGGTAGAGCATGAGTGTTGAAGCACTGGGCATTAATTCTAATGGCTTTACATTTTGAGCTGTTGAGTTTCATTCCATTGGCCACAGACCATCAAGTGACACCATCAGCAATGGATTGAGGTAAATTGGTAGGAACTTTATCATAGATAATGTATGTTGTCAGCATATTTTTGGAGAATGGTTTTAGGTGGGAGGTAGGTATTTATATTGAAAATAAGATGTGATCCAAGATGTGAGCCAGTTAGGTAGAATATTCACTAACTTTAGTAGCAACTTGTCATGATCAACAAGATCAAATGCTTTTGCAAAATTGAAGAATATTGCAAAATTTGATTTATTATTATCTTTAGCATAACTCCAAACCTCTATAACTTGAATAATAGCGTCTATTGTACTACGGCCTGGAAGGAAACCAAACTGTTTGTTTGAAACCCAGATGTGCTTGGTGTGATTAAGGATGAATTTTGTGACAGTGTGTTCAAAAACTTTGCATAATGTGGACGCAATAACAATTAGGCGATGTCATTAGAAGATAGCAGGTTTGAGATTTGAAGAATTGGTGTAATGTTTGCTGATTTCCATTGATCAAGGAAATAACTGTTTTCTATGAGACAGTTAAACAGGATTTGAGTGATGGGGCAAAATCTAAGCAAGCAGATTTGAGTGAAATTTGGGAGAGATTGTCATGTCTTGATGATCCTGTCTTTAGCTTGCTGAGTTGGTTGAAAATGTTATTAATGGTAAAAATGGGGGTTATAGGTAGGCCTGCTTGACAGTTGATGAAGAACAAAAGGTTTGGTTGTTTCTTATTGCTCCAAAGATTTTGGAAATGGTCATTCAATTGATTTCTAATGTCTTCTAATGTCTTTCTAATGTGATAGAATGAGTGAATATATATATACATATATATATATATATATATATATATATATATATATATATATATATATATATATATATATATATATATATATATATATATATATATATAAATATATATATATATATATATATATATATATATATATTAATATATATATATTAATATATATATATATATTAATATATATATATATATATATATATATATATATATATATATTATATATATATATATACATACATTCACACATACACATACATGCATACATACATACATACATACATACATACATACATACATATGTACTTGCATACATACATACTTACATACATACATACATACATACATACATACATACATACATACATACATAAATACATACATACATACATACATATATATATATATATATATATATATATATACATATATATATATATATATATATATATATATATATATATACTCTTGCATGGTAGTTGAAAAGAGTTTTCCATAAACTGTAGTTTAAAAGAGCGCGTTAATAAACCAGACCAGAAAAAGTTTAAAAACTTAAATTTTTTTTTTTTTTTCAAATGATAGACTGCCTGCCCAAACCAAACCCTCAGTCGATGTAGCAGCACTCCCTTGCGAGTCAAGCTATTTGTCAGTCGATGTAGCAGCACTCTGTTGCGAGTCAGGCTATTTGTCAGTCGATGTAGCAGCACTCCGTTGTGAGTCAGGCTATATGTTAGTCGATGTAGCAGCACTCTGTTGCGAGTCAGGCTATAAGATAGTTGATGTAGCAACATTTACGCATGTTTTAAAAATGTTTTTTAATAAAATAAAAACAAAAACATCACTAATAAAAAAAAACTTTCTAGTCGTTATAAATGGGGTTTTTCAAAAAATTTTTAAAAAACAATAAAATTTAATGTACTTCCGCATTAATTTAATTGCTTTGACATTTCGACGACAATCAAATACAGCTTAAGAGACGAGGTAATTAAAATTGTAGTCGTAAGAGACTTTTTTTACATTAAAACGCTCTTTCGACTACACTATATATATATATATATATATATATATATATATATATATATATATATATATATATATATATATATATATATATATATATATATATATATATATATATATATATATATATATATATATATATATATAAAAAAGGTATTCAAAAATAGGTCATGTCAAAATTTTGATAAGAGCCCTAGCTTATGATCTGTCCTGACTCCAAATTAGTACTTAACATTTTTTTATAAATTTTTTTTTTGAGCATCGGAAAGGTGGACAAAAAGTGGACAAATCGACCCTTTTGTCCCCCACAGAGGACAAAAGGGTCGAATTTTGCCCTTTTTTTAGGAAAACTTTCAACCAATTTAAAATTTGATTTTTAGGAAAAATCTCAACCAATTTAAAATTTGAACTATCTAATAACATGGTAATGAGTTCTTCTATTTATGTTTTAAGGAATTTTCATAATTATTAATTTAGGCAATTTTATGGGCGATAAAAAAACACTGAACGTCACCAAAATAATACAATATTTGTTTAAAAACAATAATCGCTAAGTTTTTTTTATTAACAATAAAAAAAAATAATACCAGTTCAAAACAAAAATAAAAAATTTACAATTGTTTCAAAATAAATTGAATCAAAAAGTTGATATTAAATAATAATATTTAGTGCAGCTTTGGCATGATCCAACTTTTTTCTTCCATTCCGATTTCTCTTGTATACATAAGTAAAAAGAAATGTATCTTGTCTTTTCTCTTCAGAATGTAAACAAGTTGTTGAATTAACTTGACTGTACTCTCTGAACAATCATTCACAAATCAAGATTTATAACGGCTGTTTCAAAATTTTGATAAAAATCATTTAAAATCCAATACTCTCAAAGAAGCTTCATCATTGAATATGAGCTTTTCCATGACTAAGCATGTCAAACACAAGCCATGACTTCTCTGTAATTAGTTGAACTAAAATGGAAGGCTCATCCTGTGAAAAGTTTAGACTCATTAGAGTGTCTTTATCCAACACCTGTCTTTCTAAGGAATATTCTTCTATGGGACCTTGTCTCTTAGCCTTATTGCTACGTTTTTGACATTTCTTATCTGGAATTGCTAAAATGACTAAATATGGATCAAGGTACCAAGTATGTCATTGTATGGATTTAGAAACAGCTTGAGCCCCAGCTTTATTCCATTCCTCCAATCTTTTCATCTGCCATAATACTTTCATGTCCTAATAGTTAAAGCTTAGATTTATCAATATTTAATTTATAAAAATAATATACCTATTTTATGCATTTATTCAAAATTATATATTTATTTTCAAACTACTATTCAGATAGTGTACCTGTGTCAGAGCAACTGAATTTAACTCAGCTCTTAGAAACCACTCAGTGTAAAAAACAGAAAAAAACTTTGTCTGTGATTTCATCCCAGCTCTCTTCATTGATTTCAGGAATTCTTTCCATGAGTTTAATAGTTTTAAGTAAAATAAACTTTTACCCATAAATCTGACAGCTCCAAGATTGTGAAGTTTGAATCTGTTGGTGGGTGATAGTACCATCAAAGTACAGTGGTGGCCAAATTATTAGACCAGGCTACAAAACTGAGATTATTTTCGAATGTACCTACCTTGGCACAAATTAGTTATTAAATTAATGTATATATAGTTACTGCATGTATAGCCCAATGTTGCTTAAGTGTTAATAAGTGTAATTTATCTTTATTTTTGCTCAAGATCCATTTTATTGAAAATTTTAACTGTAAATTGAATATTAAAATTTGGTCACCTGCTATCTGTTAGAGGTCAGTATTTTCTTATTTGTTTGATGTTTATGAGCAGAAATTAAAGGAAAATGTACATTAATAAGAGTTGCTTGACATTACATTAAGGTCAATCTTTTATTTATTTTTATTTTCTACATTACAATATTTGAAATTGTAAAAAATAATTAGATTTAATTGAATTATTTATAAAGGTTTTAATAAAACTATTTATTACTTTCACCTTTTGAATAACTTTTAAAAACTTTAGTGCTAAATTATATATCTGCAAAATTAATTGCATTCAACTTTTGCTCATTAATCCAGGAGCCAATTGGAGTTGATAATCTTTTCAAATCTTGCTTTTCAGTATCTAGATCATTCCAATACTTTTTAAAAAATTTAATAATTTATTTTCTGGCCCTGAAGTATGACTGCTTGGATTAAGCTCCCAAAATCGGTAACATTACGCTCATAAATATGGCGTTGA